AATGGGTGTTGTTCCGGGCATTAAATCAATCTTAAATTTCACCTCTCTCTCTCTAGTGGCAGTGATACTAACTCATTAGGGAAAACATCTGAGTATTCTCTTACTACCGGCACATCTTTGACCTCCAACTTATCCCCTGGGGTATTAATGAGAAAAGTTAGGTATCTTTGGGCTCCGTTACTTAACAATTTTCTAACCCGAATTCCTGAGATAAGAGTAAACGAGACTAAAATACCCCTTACGTCTAGCCTTAGGGTGGCCTCTCCAAGTATAAAAAATTTCATTACTTTCGTCCTACAGTCTAGTCGAGCATGATATCGAACTAACCAATCCATTCCTAACATAATGTCATACCCTTTGATGCCTAAACTTATCAAATCTACTCACAATTTCGCTCTCCAATACAAATCTCGCAATTCTTATAAATGGTGTTGGTAGTTATACGTTGATCACCGATAAGGGTTCCAACTTCTAGGTCATAAGATAATTGCTCAAGTTTAACATCAATTTCATATATGAAAGTCGGGGTCACAAAGGAATGAGTTGAATCGGGATCTATCAGGATCTTAGCCAGGCGATGGAAAATAGGGATCGTACCTTCGACAACTTCAGATGAATCCGAAACTTGATATTGGTCAATCGCATATACCCTGGCTGGCACCTTCGGCCTGCTCCCTCCTACAGTTGATTGCCTAAGGTTCGCCCTATCCGTCCACTAGGTGTTACTCCCTTCTCGATGCACATTCGGACAACTGCCAGTCCTATACTCGATACTTCCACACCGTAATATATTCTGCCCCTTCTTCCAACACTCCTCCTCAGTGTGGTTAGGCTTCCCACAAATTCCACAAGTTACATGAGGAGCTGATGCTTGCCCTCCCGATGGGGTGGTTCTTGATTGTTCTTGCCCACTTTGGGCTCCCCTAGACAGGGATGTTCTTGGCGCCCCTGGAACTTTCGCTCCTCCTGCCCCCTCTTCCCGCCTTAGGTGGAGATGTACTTCTATCACCTTGCCCTAGATTAGTACTTGGTGGACCTCTCTTTCTGGGTATGAAAAGCCTTTACTTGAGACCTTGCAAGCTCAACCCGCTGAGTTTTCTCAAGTGTTTCCATAAAGGTGGTTATTTGAGTGGCTACTAAGGCCTCTTGAATTTCCACATTAACGCCTTGCACAAAACGCCTTATTCTCCTCTATTCCGTCACTACTAGTTCAGGAGCAAATTTCGACAACTTAGTAAATTGGGTCTCATACTCGGCTACATTTTGAGATCCTTGACGGAGTTTTATAAATTCATCCTCTCTTTTCTCCTGGATCAAGAGTGGGAGAAATTTATATTAAATTTTTGAGTAAAGTTTACCCAAATCCTAGGAGTTTGTTCCCTTTCTTACCTAACTCGTATAAAATTTCACCAAGTTCAAGCAGCTCCCTCAAACTAAAAGGTGGCAAAGTTTACTTGTCTCTCTTCCGGATAGTTTAAAACCGTGAAAATATCGATCATCTTAGCAAGCCAAGGGTCCACCCAAGAATTTAGGGGGAGATAATTTTTGAAATCATTTCAAAGCTCTATCTTCCCCTTCTGCAGGATTTTCAGGGTTTCTAGGTTGATTAAGAGGATTTTGGCCCTGACGATCCACCAACTAAGCCAGCAAGTCTGTCATACAATTAATGGCTATAACCACTTGGTCTCCCGCTTCAGCCCCTGGTCCCTAATTTTGACTACCTACAGGTTCTCGGTCACTCTCTTGTTCTTGGGATTGCTTGGGTCCATGCCCATGGCCTCCTCCCGTCTACTATACTTACACTCCATCGGTTATTAACAAGTCTAGGGTTGAAATGTAAATGCAAAGGTTAAAATTTCATAGATACATGAGTAAAAGGAAGAATATAAATAAGTCAAAAGATCAGGTATATTTAACACAACTTTATCATACATGTCACACAGTAGCAGTCGGATACAAGCAAAAGCAATCCCCTTTAATAGTAGCAGGGTCATAACAAAAGCATAATGTACAAAAACTATGCCAAAAGTACAAAAACATCCAACTAGGAGTTTTTTTAACTACTCCTCATATGGGATCAAAACCAGGTTCATAGGGGCTCTAACCTAGTTCCCAACCAAACTAACGAACTTTCTCTCGTAGGTAGAGTTAGGTGCATCTCCCTCTCTAGAGGCTCCATCGCCCTGAACCTCCACAAGTGCGTTAGCGCCAATCACTCCTTGGATTAGTGCTTCACACTTGTCAATGATACCTCCAGATTGATCTCTAACCTTGTGGACCACCCTAATGAGGCGGTCATTAACCACCTGTAGCTGCTCTCTAAGAGCATTCATCATCTCCTGCTCCATCGATATGTCCTCTTAGAGCTCCTGAATCCTGTTGGTCTGCATCCTCATGATGTCTCTCATCCTCACCATCTCAGTTTGGTCCCTATCATGGCCAAGCCTAGGCCTTCTCCTTTCATCTAGTACTGTCAAGACCACATGGTCGGCATAGGAGTAACTCTGGCAACGACTACATCGTTTAGTCCAACTAGCGGTACTCCAATGCTGGATCGGTCCTCCTGGCCTCTCTTCAAAATCAATGACTCGAAAGCGCCTTCAAGACGGTGCACCTCCACCCTCTCCACTGCTTCCTTTCATGACCTACAAAAATAAACACGGTTTATAACTTAGGCGAGGTTAATTGTACTCAATGACACCCTAACACGTCACACTAAGTTCCTTAGAATCAAATTTCTATTTCACCCAACCCATTTCTAACCTAAATTCTGATACCCAACTGTGACGACTACACCTCTCCCTAAGGCGAACCAAAGGGTTCGGCGGGCCACCTGCCCAACTCTCGTCAGGACTCAAGCACTAGCTGAATAACAAGTCCTTTCAAAATAAAAATCAATATTTACATGGTCTACACAAAAGATCCCTGACTGTATACAGCAGATTGTGATCGATACGATCTTAAAATATGCTACTAGCTCAATTTACAAAAGTTGAGTTCCCAACTTACAAAAACAAAACTAAGGGGGCGCTTGGTTCAAGCTTAGGGAATTGGAATTGTAATTGGAATCATAGACTCTGGTTTTGGAATTAAAACTTTTCATTCCAATATCTTGCTTGGTTCACACATTGGAATTAGCATTATTCCAATTCCTGATGCTTGGTTTGATGAGTGTTTCGGAATTAAATGCAATTAAATTCCAAATTTACCCCTGATATAACAATTCTTCTAAAACAAAAGAATTACACATACGACAAATTAACATTTTCATAATTGTAACTACAATAGTTATTAACTTTTTGATAAAACATAAGAAAATCATAAATAATAAAAAAATTAATACCAGAAAATAAATATAGTGGCTGCATTAATAAGGAGTAAATTCCAAAAAAAAAGGAGTTTTTAAACAATCACCCAAAAGGTGACGATTTTTGAGTCTCTTCCCAAAGGGTGAAAAATGCATCCAAGGAATGTGTTCTTCCAAATAAAAACGCAACTTTCAAATACGTTATTTTATGTTTTGGAAATTTGTTTAAATATGAAAAATTGGTTAAATAGCCCATAAGATACCAGCTCTTTATGGGAAACTGGCAGGTTTTGTACCAGCTTTATGGAAAAAATTGATTAAATAGTGCCCAAAGGAAAACTAGTATGTTTTGTATTTAACATAAATTAAATATGTGAAAGTTAAAAAAAAAAAATTTGCCCATAAGATACCAGCTCTTTAAGGGAAACTGGCAGGTTTTGTAGTATGTTTTGTACCAACTCTTTATGGAAAACATACCAACTCTTTATGGAAAAAATTGATTAAATAGCGCCCAAAGAAAAACTAGTATGTTTTGTATTTAACATAAATTAAATATGTGAAAGTTAAAAAAAAAAAAGAAATTACTCATAAGATACCAGCTCTTTATGGGAAATTAGCAGGTTTTGTATTTAATACGCTATTTAACCAATTTTTTATATTTAAACAAATTTATGAAAATTAAAATAACGTATTTGAAAGTTGCATTTTTATTTGGAAGAACGCATTTCTTGAATGTGTTTTTCACCCTTTGGGAAGAGACTAAAAAATTGCCAACCTTTAGGAAGTTAGTTTAAAAACTCTTTCTTTTTGGAAATTTACTCCATTAACAAGTCGTTTGTGGTTCCTACGTTAGATAATGATATGAAATAGATCTCTCCTTACATATATGAACAAAAGAAGGAGACTCAAATCACAAAAGCTAACCATACCAAATACAAATCAATTGTCTAATCCAGTCGAGAGTGCCACTCAATGTCCACAATCTCCAAAAGACTAATCATATAACCATCTAACAATCACCATAACAAAAAGAAATTGCCATCAAATCATCACTTTCCAGCTAACAATAATTTTACTTCAGCGAGTAGATGGAGGATAAAGGAGGTTAATTACATATTGTCGTTTCATTTCTGCAGGAAGATTGTAGAACACATGAAGCTTGGAAATCTGCTCCGAAAGTATGTCGGCTGCATTCATTACATCTCCACTCGGTAAAGCAAGTTTCATTAACTCAGCAACAACTTGATCTCTTCTATCGGAGACCAATTGCTCACGTTTATCCTCATTTGACATGGCTGCTGCCATAGTTGTGAAATTAGCTTGAATTCCCTCCACGAAATCTCCAAATTTGCTGGTGAGAAGTTGCAATGATGCATCAAGATCACCCCTTGTTGTTGATGCAGATTTCATTTTTTTTGACACATTTGCAATGGGAGGGGATTGTTTCTTTTGTTTCTTGGAATTTCTTGTACTTGTTGAGCTTGGTTGAGTTGATTGCTCCATGGAATTTACTTCATCTTCTTCTACCTTATCATTATCCGAGTTTGACATAGCATCAAGCCCTTCATTCCTTCCTCCAAATTTTGGACATCTTCCATATCTTGGACAGCTTGTGCAAAATCTTCAGCAACATTTCCAGTGGCTCTGTCTCTTCCATATACAATTTCAAGATCTCCTAAATATGGAAATTTGACATCCCAAAGGCCCTTCGCATCCTTATGAGTCTAGAGATAGAATAGAAAGATAAATGATAATCTTAATAAAAGGTTGAAAAAGAACATATCAGAATGTAAAAAGTAATCAATTTCTTACCTTGCACCAATCATCATACCACTGTTTTTCACAAGAAATCTTTTTCTCAGCATCATTCCAACTACAACCACTTTCTTTGCACATTTCAACAATTGCATGGAACCTATTTTTCAGCCACTTAACTTTTGATTCAATATGTGGGCTGACTTGTTTGGTAAAAGTAGGTTGCTTACGCAAGATAATTTTAAGCAATTCGCTCATATAATTATTTTTAAATCCTCCATCTGATTTCCACATTGGATCACAAGCCAACTCTTGCAATGATTCTATGAGCACTTTTACCTCTTCACCAGTCCAAAAACATTTATTTTTCCCTCTTCCACGTACAATTTCATCATTCTCCATCCTATCATTTAGAAGTCAACCCATATATATCAATTAATTTTGATACACAATAGCATATAACTGAAATTTATAATATAACAAAACACATAAAAGAACATACAATTAAAAGTCAATCCAAATTTAAAAGAACATACATCAAGTGTCAATCTAATTCACAAATCCACTACAAGAGTACATCAAATGTCAATCCAAATTTAATGAGTCTAAGAGCTAAACATCCATTCATAGCTAAATACTAAGTCCAGCCCTCCAATTGTCAAACATTTCATGTGCTAAATTATTTCTAAAATTTGCCCATTGATCACTTGGCAAAATAGTGGATATGCACTCTACTTCTTCATCACTGTCTTCATCTTCACTTTCATTTTCTTCACTTTGTAGTAATTCTTGTGGATCAAAAGTCATGAACTTCCTTATCAAGTTGTGCAGCAGACAACATGCCATAATTATTCGCACTTGTGTTTGAATTGGAAAAAATGAAGGGGATGCTAGAATCTTCCACCTTCCTTTTAGCAATCCAAAACATCTTTCTATGATATTTCTAGCTTTAGAATGTTTCATGTTGAAATATTCCTCTGGTCTTTGTGGTCGATAACCATTGAATTCATTAAGGTGATATCTTTGCCCTCGATAAGGGGCAAGAAATCCATCAGCATTACAATATCCAGCATCCACCAAGTAATAACAACCTTCAAAATTCAATCATGTACAAATTAATACTAGACTACCTTATTTTTGAAAAAAAATTGATTGAATGGTATTGAATACTACAATATATGTTTACCTTGTGGGACTCTAAGACCATTTGGTCTAGAGATAGCATTTCGAAGCACACGACCATCATGTGCCGAACCTTCCCAACCAGGCAAGACATAGATAAATTGCATATTAGGAGAACAAACCCCTAATACATTCGTTGCAATACTTCCTTTTCTCGTTCGGTATCTTGATTTTTGTTCGGTGGGTGGTGTCACATCTATTAATGTCCCATCTAAGGCACCTAAACAATTCTATTTTAACACAAATAAAAAATATAAATGAGTTAAAATGTCTATATTGGATAGTTTAGATGAAAACATACATTTTATTAAATGATTGTATTTTAATGTTTGAATTACCTTAAAACATTTCCATCTCTCATCTGTGCAATCTTCGGTAATAGGCTCAGGCTTCTTAAGTAATATAGTATGCAATTTCAAAACTGCTAGGAGGCAAAGATTAAATTGACGACTCACCGTTTCTCTACTTCTCCAAAATAGACCACAAATTGTTCTACTTTTCTTGTGGTGAGCCAAAACATATACAAACATGGCAACAATTTCTTCTATTGACATGTTTCTTGTAGCTTTCAAACCTCCAGTGTCTCTAATCATTTCACATAATATCCCAAATGTTCGTCTATCCATACGAAGTTCGCTAATACAATAAGCATCACTCTCCCTAGTCAAATTGAATAAGTGTTGCATGCGCTCAGTGACTTTTTCTTCTTTTGATTTTATTTGGCGTCTTCTACTTTTGAGATGAATGAATATTAACTGGTACCACATCATAAACAGTGCAATAACAACCATTATCATTCCTGATAAAATCTGGCTTTGCCCTCGATATTTTTTGCGTCTTCTGTTTTCAATAGGCAAACGTGGCATCTTTGTCTACATAACAATATGACAACCAAATGTAAGTATTCACCAAACTAGATTACGGCATCAAAATCTTCAAATGCATTAAACATCAATTGATCTTATTAAAAGGGCCTAGACATGCATCATACATCCGTAAACACAATGATGTATAGATATAAATAAGCATAAACAAACGAAATTGATGGTTGAAACTTGAAATCCTAATGTACGAATAACTATGAAACTGAAAGCTATTCAAGCAGACAATTTTACAAACAGGTACAGGGCATGTAGAAACCCACCCAAACTATACCAGTATTCACGGATCAAATAACCAAAAGATCAAGAATTGATTGACCTCCATTGAATGCGTAATCCAAGAAAACACATTAAAAACATAAAAATGACAAATCTAGTGACATTAACATTTATCTCACCAAAAAAAAGAACAAAATAATGTATTTGTTGAAGTAAGTGAATTAAAATACATGTATTACAACAAAATACATGGATTAAAAACATGTATTATTCTCACCAATAATAGTGTATTTGTTGCGGAAATAATTTCTTATTGGATTTTGTGACAAAAGAATATGAATTCATGGAAGGAAGACTTTTTTGCAAAACTGACAGATTGTGTAGCGTGAGTGGAATAAAAGTGAGAAGGTGATGGGTCCAGAGCATAGCATTTTGGTCCAGTTAGTGTTATTGTATCAGATTCCTTCTTTTCTTCTTTATTTTCAGCTACCCAGTGAGTAGCCTGAAAAAATAGAGAAGAAGAAAGAGAAAAGCTTGCATACGAAAAGAAAATTGCAGAGGCAAGGGAGTTTGTAATCCACTGACCTGGGATCAAGGAATTCACCCTAGTAGAAGACTCTTCAACTCTAGAATTCGTTGTCCAAGGAGAGTCGAAAGCCACTGATCTTTATGGTTGTCCAACCGGTGAAGTAGAAGAGGTAGAAAATCTGATGAAGAAGAAGAACAGAAGGTGCGGCGTGTAATGAAGAAAAAAAGAGGGTAGGTTCGTCATAAATGTTTTTGCTCGGGAATGAGTTGAGGGTTTTGTCCAAAACCTCCCAATTTACTCAGGAATGGTGAAAGTCCGATTTTTTAGAAATGATTCCAGAAATTGCATTCCAATAGACTTAACCCAAGCAACAAATAAGGGATTCATTCCATTATTTGATTCCCAAACCTTTTAACCAAGCAGCCCCTAAAAGTTGGTGCAACTAAGCTACAGCAAAAGATTCCGACAAGACATGGCCCTTCTTATTCACTCGCCTAGGTGCTCGTTTCTTGTAAGAAAAACAAATCTAAACGGTGAGCTTTCGCCCCGTGAGATTATAAGAAAGTCATGTAACAATAATATCAGATTCACGCCACATAACCATAGTTCACAACCATAATGCAAGTTCACGTCGGGTACCTAACAATTAAAAATTTACATTGTCATATAAAAGGATACGGGGCTCTCAAGAGCATATTCAAGCAACTTGATCAAAATTCTTTTGACACTCGGTCAACATTTTTTTCAAAATACTAACAAATAATTCACCACTTCACGTCATTCTCCAACCACCATTCAACCCCCTACCGGGCCCGCACATCAAAATTTAAGAAGGGTAATACTCGAGCATACCAGTTTAAGTTCAAGAGTTCAAGCACAAGTTCAAATTCATGTGACAAATGACAAGACCCATGGTTCGTCAATCGTGTCAATCAAGCCTTTGCCGACTCGACCCGACCAACTAGCCAATGGGATTTGGGGCCTCAAGCACGCAAGAAAATCGATGGAATAACCATCCAATCGACTAACAAATCAAGTACAAGCAAAGCAATTCATCTCATATCAATGTCAAACAGTTCAAGAGTAACAAGAACAAGTATTTCAAGCCAACGAACATGTCATTCAAGTAAGAGACATTGCACGTAAGCACTTTACATGCACTTAGAACACTCACCACGGCAACAAGTTCAAGTGTTCGCCTCGAGTGCACCACCAACCTCACTTCCCCATCCTAAAATCACATTTATAAAGTGCCATGAAATCCACTACGCCAAGTCACATTATTCAAAAGAAAATCAAGTTCAAAATGGTTCAACAACTCCAACTTGAAGTTGGAAATGAAAGTAAGGACAATTTTAGGAAAACAAATTCTTCTAGTTTTGCATGACGCTATTTGAAAAATCATATCCCAAGTTTCTTAAGTCTAAAATTTATAAACTTTACACCATTCAAAAATAAACTAAAGGGTTACAATTTCTCAGCAGACACCTTTGTAAGATTCTCTCCACAAGTCAGTCAAAATCCAATCTCAAGTTGTTGCTTTATCTAGAAGAAAGACAGAGCAGGTATGAAAATTCAGTTAACTTTGAAAAATCATAGATATTCATAGGAATTGAGAAAAATTTTAAAATTTTTATGGTAGAAAGTACTCCGAATTTGGTTTCAAATGCAACAAGTAGAACTCAATTTGGATTTTTTTTATACCAAGATATGACAGATTTCCCAAGACTGCTCAGAATCTCCTGTGAAAAATTTCCAGCCATGGTTTTTGGTCAAAAGGTGAGGTTTAAGCCACTTAAAATGCATGATTTTAATCAAATTTCAACACACACTTGTTGGCTAAAGTAGTATAAAGTATTTTGAGCAAAATCAAGTCTAGAATCATGATAAAAATTTCGAAATCAAGGTTGCAACTTCAACCCTTCCATTCAGTTAGTAACCAGAAATTTTACTTCCAAATTTTCCAACTTTCCTCCAACTAATTGTCCCAAGCTTAACTAACCATGCTTAGCAAATCCATAAAGTTTCATCTCCAACATAACCATAGACACATATGTAGCCATAATCACAACAAGAAACCACCATAATCATCGACATAATCATACTCTAGAATTCAAGTATGAAAGATAAGCATAATCAACTTGGAAACTACCAAGATTCGCCACCAAATCATGTTTTAGCCAAAAATCAATCTTATTTTCAACATAAGACATAGAAAGAAGGTTAATCTAGTATTTTACCTCTTTTGTTTTCCAACCTCCAAATCTTCTCCTCTCCAAATTTAAGCTAAGATGGATGAAACTCCCAAGTTATCTCCTTCCTTTTCCCTCAAAATTCAAGCAAGATTGAAGCTAAAATTTAGTGAAGCATTTCTCCCTTTTCTTTCCCTAACTCACAGCCCTCTCTCTCCATTTTTCTTGAGTTTGTTTTGTTTGGTTTTTAAGGCAAGAAATATGACGACTCCACCTCCCCCCAAGGCATACCAAAGAGTTCGACGGACCGCCTGCCCAACTCTTGGTAGGATTCACTCACTCGTATCTTACGCATACATCCATAGACAAGAAATAACATCGCAATTCAAACTTATAACATACATCGATACACAAATCCAGATACAAAACTTCTATACATCCAAAGTACTTCTAAGTGCATACAATCCAAGTACAAAGTATCCTAAGCGAGTGATAGCACGAGTACAAATCAAAAATCAAAACAACTAGTCTAATCTAGTTTGTACACGTCTCACGCCTCGCTCATACCCTTACAAGGAAAATAAAACTAAAGGAGTGAGCTAAAACTCAGTAAGGTTCCAAATATCAAATTGTTCATCAAATAAAGTAATATTGGCATAATGGCGAAATAGCGAGCAAAACAAGTCAAGAAATGAGTAACAAAACTTCATATAGCCAAACATGTAATTTTTTCGCATTTCACATATAAGGATACAGTTGCTCATATATCGGCTACACCATAGCTTGATCAATTGGTAGTTGATTTTCCATCAACTTTCAAGTAAGAGACTAGTCCAGTAGAACACCAATTAACGCCAATCTCCATCCACCGATCAAATCCCTTACCGGGCCCGAACTCCACAATAAACACTGGTGGCAATACTCGAGTATTCTGATTAGCCGAGGAGATAACACTCCACTCAACATCACTAACTACTCAGGGTTCGTTATCTAATCGACCAGACCCTTGCCGACTCGACTCGACAAACTAGCCACAGGGTTTTCTGGAATTCCAGGCAAGATGCAATTCACAAGCATGTATAGCAATTCAATTCCAATCGATGAATGAGAACAAATCACATTAGGGCAAGTGCGATAAAGTACACTCTTGTCCCATCAATTCACTTGTATATACATCATATAATCACATTGGTCAAATATAGAACACAAATGTCAAGTCCAATTAGATATTTGGAAGCACTCACCAAAATATAGTGCTTCAGTGATCCCGTCTGCGTTGTACTCCGAGTTTGGAGTCCAAATCTGCGATAAAACTTTGTTTAAGAACTTTGAAAAACAACTAAGGTTCGAAACTTACACGTTTCGTTCAATAAGAATCAAGTAATTGAAATTAGTTTGGAGAATATTCGTGAAACAGTTGCTCGCTTTTCAAACTGGAACATTTTGTAACAATTATACTTGGAAATACCATTTGAGTTGAAAGAACGAGGAAAACATCTTTCTAGTAGTCGTTATTTCATTTCTCAAGGGTACAAGTTCGGCCAAGTTCTAACTTATTTTCTCGATAAAAGAAGACGCGAATATCCTAGATGGTTCAAGTGGTATTCGCTATCAAGTCTTACTCAAGTCGCAAGTCTATTTCTCTAGTCCTCGGCATAAATTTGGGCAGCACGCCCTTTATTTTTACCTATGTTCTAGCCATTTATGGCTTCGTTCATTCCTCAATCAGTCCCAAAGTTACACACAAAATAATCTCATTTCAATAGCCCTTCAATAGGCTCAAGGTCATACAAGTACCAACCCCAGCTAGAAACATTTGCGGAAATGAAATTTGAGTCAAGAAACAAAAGACAGATTTGACGTTGTTTTGCGCAACGGACATAACTGAGGCTACACTTATCGGATTAGTGTACAATTGATACAGTTTCGAAGCTAAGACAAAGGCCTACAACTTTGATGAAGATCACTCAGTCCAGTTCATAGTGTAGCTAGGTCAAAATTTCAATGTACAAAACCAGAATCTCACAAACAGGTTAGCTAACTGCACTATGGTTAAACAACAACAACTCATGCTACCGAAGTTCGATTGAGGTGTTGTCAGGGGCGTTGGAAAGCTGAAACATAGGGCTAAATGTTTCATGTTTTGACCAAAGACTGGTTTGATATGGATCAAGGTGAAAAAATGCAGCCAACATGAGACAATGTCAAAACTGTCTGCTGGACTCTACCTAGGGCAGTCTCAGGGGTATTTTTGTTTTTTTATAGGCTACATTGCTCCGATTGAGCTGAAATTTTGCAGTCAACTATAAAACATCATTATCTGCAACTTTCATGTTTTAGGATAAGCCTAATTCGGTCTCTAACATGGTGAAATAGAACCGGGCAGAACAGGGTATACCTTAACTTCAATTCTGGAAATTTGCTACAATCAAGGTATAAATCTCATTTTTAACTTGAAACCATCACTACCACCTCTTATACCAACTTATATACATCATATACCACCCATACAACAAGTATGATAAGTGAATCATTCAAACCCTAACTCAAATTCATCACCCCAACCATTCAAAATCACTTGATATAAACATTACAACCACAAATACAAGCTACTAAGCAACTCTAACATGATTAAGGGAAAAGAAAAGAGTGGTTAGTCATATTATCTCAAAAACAAAGCTTGCTAGAGTTATCCTCCACTTCTCCTTGAAATTTTTGGTTCCTTAAACTTCCCAAGCTCTCAACCTACAAGTTAATCGGTTTAGTTTTTCTTGGTTTCACTCACAATTCTTGATTTGAGGTTGGAAATAGAAACTCTCTTCACTCTTTCTCCCTCTCCTTGCTCTCGGCCAAACAAGAAAAAAAATGGTGAAGCAATGAGCTAAAATGAAGATAAGAATGTAAGAAAGTTGGCTTGGTCAAAGGGCCTTAAATGGCCAACACTTGTCATACTTAGGTTCTCACAATTTTTGTTTTCTTTTCTCTCTCTCTCTTGGGGTCAAGAATTTCAGCTGCCTTGAAGGGTATTTTGGGATGATTTTTGCTGAAATAAAAGTAAGGAGATTGAGGTAATAGAGTAGTATTCAAGTGGTGTGTTCAATCGGTAGCGCGCGACACCCGTTGGTCTGAATCGTTTTTCCTTAAATCGCGTATAATAGGGTTTTCACTAATAATTTACTACTTCATTATTACTACTTCTAATCCCA